GTAGAATATTCATTGCCACTGTTTGGCAGAATATCTCTGAAACCTTCATTCTCCTCAACCTGAATGGAGAATTAAATGAAACATCATGCTCACTTAAGTATAATATAATTCTGTATTCAAAACTTGACATTATCAACAGGCTGCTAAATTGTAAACAATTATGATCACCTCAGTCTAGAATAATTTTAAGGGTGCAATTTTCTAAAAAATTGTTGCACTGCTTTAGTGAGGGGGGGTATAACAAGATAACTTGGTTTACCAACTGAGATGAAGATGTGAATTGGCTACTGTAAAGAGTTCTGAAGCTGACATCTCAAGTTTAAGAGCCCTTAGACAGAGAGAAACTTTACTGCATATAGATTAAGACATTGAAGAGCAAATCCTTCCACCGTGGAGATAGTCAACTTAGACCAAGAAATGTTTGTTGAGACTGAAGTTACATAAGCATTAGCATAACATACATTCATTTTATAGCCAAAATGTAACAAGAGTTATGAAAACATTATATCAGAGAATAAAAAATAATACGACTAAAAATTTATACATAATTGGAGAAAAAAATCTCAAGATTCCTTTAAGTTAAGAGAAGACACCACTGGAAAAGCAATTGAAGAAAGGAAAAATCAAAAGATGCCCCTCATTTTTGTAGTAAAAGTTTTGCATGTATGCCTTCATTCAAGATGTTTAAACAAAAATTACTTGCAGTTCTTTTTTACCTGATGTGTAAATAAAAATTAGTCTCATCCAAACTCTTGTGAAAACATCCAAAAGAAACTGAGACTGTTTCAGACACAATTCTAAATGTAAGAAATTTAGAATTTTCATAGAGAAAAGAATTTTAAAAAATAGCAAGTTGTAATCTTATTCATTCTCTTTAAAAACAAATATTTCTCAAAAGGCTAATTCGGCTGCTTTCCTCCCATTTCCTCCTTTTATATAAAATTCTCAGCATTTTTATTAAACTCTCAAACCTGCTTTGACTTGAAATCACCTTCAACTTCATCTTCTAATTTCAGTTCTCCTTCTTCGGTTGTCTCTTCCTTTAAAAATTGAGAAATATCTGCTCCACACATTCTGCCAACCACAATCTTTGCTACATCTTTTGAACATTCAACCAGTCCTGG